TTATCGTTACTTCAATGCTTAGATCATTTCTAAGTATTAGTTTATATTACCTTGCATACTTAGATATTTTGTTTGTTTTTTTTTACTTTTGCCCGGCATGGCCAGGTGGTTAGGAAGCTCGAGTCGCAATCTGCGGGTCGTGGGTTCAAATCCCCGTCCCACAAAACATGCTCTCCCTTTCAGTCGTGGGGGCGTTATAATGTGACTATTCGTTGGTAAAAGATTAGCGCAAGAGTTGGCGGTGGGTGGTGATGACTAGCTGCCTTCCCTGTAGTCTTACACTGCTAAATTAGGGACGGCTAGCGCAGATAGCCCTCGTGTAGCTTTGCGCGAAATTCAAAACAAACAAACATTTATCTGACTTAATCGCAAGGCTGCGTGTTTCTGGAAAGTTAAGTTTATGAGGAGAATGAATATAGTATTCTGAGCAGCAAGAGAGTGAAAACACTAAATACGTATGAGGAAAAGTGAGTTGTAACGTTGATGTTTTGTAAAATGGAATATATAATAAGAATAATTAGGATAAAATATATATACAATTTAAAGTTTATACTGAACACAAACGACGTTTATGTGAAACAACATACAGATAAAGTAATATCTAATTATTTATTTTTTGTTTAATATTTTAGGTGGACGTTGTTCATTTCACGATATCAGTGGTATTTCCAATAACTTACTTTCATGAGAACAACATATAGTATTCTCATATGATACTATATGATGTGATTATGCAAACACAAAACTGGATAACTAAGTCATTTACTCTATAATTTCAAATTACGTCTAATTTGTTAATGTATGTATACTAATGTCTCTCCGTTTGTTTGCATGAGGCACAAACAAGCTGTATTATATTTGTTCAATTATCATCGTAATTTAGAGAGAAAACACAAGAAACTCGAACTAAAGCATCACTACAGATCGTTTGGTAAAGGAATAATATAAACTTATAGCTTTTACCCATCATTTCAAAACGTTTTGATAAAATTCCTTATCTAACCTTTTAAACATTTGCTAAATTACTAAATTATTATGAATATGCATACGAAATAAAAAATGCGTAGCAAAACATCAAAATTATGTTATAAGTATCTTAATTCGTGAATTAAAACTTTTTCTACCAGTTAAAGAGATAATACATATTATTGAAACACACACGATTTATTACAGACTTTGTTAAATTTAATATGGATATGAATACGAATATTAATAAAGCATGTTGATGCTTTAATAGTGCGGAACCACCTGTATAATTTAAATGAAACTCACCTCATTATTTGTACGAACTATGAGCTGATAAATAAAACAACAAGAACGTATGGCAAGTAGTAAGCAATTTATTAGATCTAAATTTGTAGGTTTACATGAAGTATGAATGATTATAAAACACGAATTTTACCTATTTTTTTGATCTGTTTCAGTGAATCTTGATCATGGTGTGTTAACGAAGCATGTACTGATTATTAAAATATTTCACTTAAACTTAAAATTATATACTATAAATGTCACAGCAAGATGGCGGTGGATAAGGCGAATATATTGTGGTTGGAATACTATTGTTATACACTCTTCTAAGTTTTAAAAATCACTAAGGGACTAGATATAAAATACAGTGTTAAAAAATAATATAGGCGTAGCAAGTAAATTGATTATTTTCATGTTTCGCCAGTTTGGAAAATGTGTTCACACCATAACAATTGTTGTACCAAATGAGTTGCATAAGTAAGGTTTAGACCACTACTTTGTTTTTTTGTGGCCTAGCCGGATTGATGAGCTCTGTATTGAGCAAAACGCTTCGTCGGAAATGGATACTACGAATATAGTGCAGTTGAAATACTGTTATCAAACACTCTTGTAATTCTTGAAAATATTTAAGGGACTAGATATGGAATGCAGAGCTCAAAATTAGAATAAGTCTGATAATAATGTCTAGTGATAAATAAATTAAAGACATCTTTCTACATAATTCCGTGATCATAATGATCACGTTTAAATATGTTAAATAATGGTACTATAAATTAAAGATGTCATTCATTTTTTAACTTTATGAATTCTTAAGTGACGTGTCAGTGTTAATTTTAATATATATTATGAATTAAATAATGTTTAAAAACAACAATGCGACAATAAATTTTCTTTTATCTTCACATTGGAAAAAAAGAAAATATAAACAAGGATGCTACAATGAACAAACTAGTTGTTCATTTTTACTGTTTCTAGTGTTATATTCCGTCTGTACTTTTATGAAACCTTATTATCCATAAGAAGTTTTGTAGAAAAATACGTCTGTATAGCTGGAAGACTTTTATACCTACTTATGATGGCTAAAGGTCTCAAGAAAGTTTCTAAATCTTGTAGAAAAATGATAGATGGTTCGTTTTTTCTTCTTCTTTTGGACAATATCCGGTTCAAGGTTGGTAAATGAAACTACTTTAATACGTTGGCCAATAACTGGCCGCAGCTATTGTGTTTCCTCTTATAAGCAGTTCGCCCAACACACTAGTCTCACTAAAAACATTTTTTTATTCGCTTTTGCTTCAACTTGTTTTGCCTTTACATAATATATTAAAACAAAATTTTCATTAGAAGCCGATGACCATTATAATTATGACTATTAAGATTTTTTCTGAAAAGTGTAAGATTCTTCGTCCGTGTGAAATCCCACTCCGATCACCTGAAAGAGTGCAAAATTCGAATTAAAAATAAGTTGTACTATGTTCCAATATATTATAGCCGAATAAAAGGTTAACAGATATTTTATATGAAATAATAAAGGTTTAGTGTTACTTTAAAAATATAATTTGTATTAAGATAATTCATTTCAATTAATCAAAACCTATCATAGTTAATCATTGGGTGAAATAGCTAATTTATGTGTTAATAACAACTCAGAAAAACGCAGCAACGAAAAGGACATAATTCAACTGATAATCCTTTACGCGTTAAACAAGAAGAACAACAACATAAAATAACAACTTAAAATTACTCACACATACATATATATATATATACATACATATATAAATTCTTTATGAGTTGATGTGTTTATACTAACTGTATACCTTAAAAATTATGATATAAAAATAATTTACATTTTCAAACTAATTTTCATTTAATTAATTTTTTTATATCTGATTTCAATAATGCTAAGACATTTTATTACAGTATTTCTATAACGTTTATTTAAAAACTTTTGGTATATTAGTGCCCTCCATGAGTTTAATAAAACATCTTTTGTATGTGACAACTACATAGGAAACGGCATCACATAATCCTGTTCACATTGAACATAATATTCTGTCTACTCCAGCTGAGCATTATTAAGAAGACCGCCAGGAAATATAAAGCTTCCAAATTGAATTAATGCTAAATTTAAATGGTTCTTCAAAGAGCTTAAACTGTTCCCATATTTTAATTTAGATTTACTTAGGGAACTAAATAACTTGCTTAAAGTATTTTATAAAAAGGGGCAAATTTTCATGTTTTAAAATACTTTTATTAAAGATAATATTTCTGGCTCTAGTTATAAAGCCTTTTTCTTGTTAAAGTTGTTTGAATTCAAAATTAATATTTTAAACAAACTCTGTTTACGATTAGTAGCTTTAAGAAGTTCTTCATATTTAAATAAATATTTTTCGAACACTTAATTTCAGTTTGGCTTCTTATTGTAATTCTAATAATATAAAGTACCCCAGTTCTATCTGCAACTGTGTAGAAATTTCTAAACGCATCTCCGATTATTACTAACTATATATGAACCAAAAACAAAGTGTGCAAGAAGCTGTTACTGAAGTAAAGTGTGTGAAATAAGTTGCATTTTAGGATTTTATTGTTATTCGACTTTCTTATAATATTATAATAATAATAAAATTCTGAAAGTCAGGAACAACACTTTAATTTCAATGATTTGTAGAGTCTTTGCTCAAATTTTTCTCTATTTTATTTTACACGAGTGAGCACATGATCCAACTACACCTTTCTTTGTTACTTCATATGCTTCTCAACTTTTTGTTTCTTCTTTTAGTTATCTTTTTTTGTTGTTGAAACCATCAAGAAACAAATTACTTCTGTCTGTGGACTAATGATTCGTGAAACTCAGTAATACACAATCAAATCTTAAAGCGTTTACTTTCTTTTTAATGTAAAAAGTATATCATGCCAAGTTAAATTAAGTCTATAGTGGGTGATAATTCAGATATATCAATGATGGTTCTATTTTGTGTAAAATACATGGTTTTAAGACTTCTAGAATTAATCAAAAACGATAACTTTAAGATGATTCACCAAGTTAAATGTTTTGGATAAATCAGTGTCGTTTATAAAATGAGTTTAACCTTAATTGTTTAGGAACATAAATATTTATCGTACGCACTATACAATCATCATGGCAGCAAATCAGCATACATATTCTCCCCCTGATGGTTTAGAGTTAGCCTGAATGCTTATAGCGCTAAATATTGGATAGGGATACCCGCTGTGGGCAGAGCGAAAATAGCCTAATGTTCAGCTTTCCTCTTAACAACGAAGATACAAAAAATACATATCTATATCAAATTCCAGTCACCATTCAGTTTCTGTAATAACGTATAAATGAAACAGTTTGGAAAGGAAAGAAAGAAAATCTACAGTAAGGAAAGCCGAAGTAACTTTTCCTTACAAATTTATTTACTGTTCCTCTTAATAAGTTATCATGCATTTTTTCACGTGTGTGTGTAAATATATATAAACTCAACAGTTGAAAACTGAGACTTGATATGAATAAAACGTTTCATGATTCGATCAGTCCTGAAAGATATACAATACACATTGCTAGTGGCATTTCGATCGAATGTTTACGTGACATGATACTCATACATATAGTATTACCAAAATCATTAAACCGCACATTGTGACTAGATATTTGGTACTCAAAATACAATTACGTATGTGTGTTTATAAAGCTACTCTACTGTCTCTGACAGTAAGATGGTGCCAAGATGCCACAAAGAAAAGAGCTTACGAGCCTTTAAGGAAGAAGGATTGTTGAATGAATGCACTCTTGGTAACATAAGTGTATATATATATATCCAGCTTACTTATATTCATATTCATTGCGGTAATGTGCTGAAGAAACGGAAGTCCATCAGATGTACTAACATAGAATATTGGTCTGTTCGCCACATGTTAGTTATTCCTTGGTCCAAATGAATTTGATGATGTGGTGTGAAACAAAACTACAGATCTAGTATTAAATCCATCACTCAGGATTTTGATAAAAGTTCAAGAATGAAGGCAAATATATCCACTAGGTGTGGGAGCTCTTTGCTACTGATACTACGGACTTGACTTAAACTCCTATACTGCTATTCACAACTGTGAATACAAGGCGTCGGATTTCGCGGTGCTTTAAGAGTCGGGTGAAGAACACCGGAAAATCCTAATTTGAAGTGATAAATTCCATTACTTACTGTTTGCTTCGCTTCAGTGGAGCTGCGTTTTACGGTAACCTGAAGAATGTGTTGGAAACGACTGTCTTGGAAAGAGTTTTATTAAAATTTGAACTTCTTTTTTCCGGTTTGGAGCTGATCCGTTGTTAATAGCTAATTCAGTATGAATACCTATTGTATCATGCCGTTCAGGACAATGAAGTACTGCTTGTAATGAAGGAGAGATCATACCTGAATCCAAGAGTTGCGAATAACAACCAGATTCTAGCCTGGTCGGTTCTGGTTTATAATTGAGCTGACTTATTAGAGGACTGGTGGTCAATTCCACCAAATGTAGCAAGCTCAGATTGTTATTAACGCCGAAAGTGGCTTGGGTTTTAAAACTCATAAATTAGGTAAATTTATGTGTATAAATATACACGGACTATTCACTACGTTAAAATATTTTTCTTTTACTTCCGAGCACATTGTTGCCCGATGAAGGCTTAAGTAAGAGGGCCGAATACTCGCAAAATTGAAGAAAAAGTATTTTAACGAGAGAACAAACCGTGTATAATTTTATATACCAAATGTGACGTGTTATATCTCCGTTGATGAAGCGTGTTTTCCCGATAACTGGTAGCATATTCTGTACTTAACGTAAACATGAGAAAATATAATTACTAAATGTCTATTGTTCTATCACGCTTTGTTAATTTATTGCTAATTCTTTTTCAGGTTACCGTGTGAATGAGGAAATAAATATCAGACCAACGACGGAACAATAATACCAATAGGATATCGCTTATATTAACGTTGTGTAAAACAGTCAGTATATTAGTCTATGTTTTTTTGGCTCCGTACTTCTATTTCAAGTTTTATTTTCTATAATAATTGACATAAAAGCCATTCAGACGCTAACCGTGATATCAATCTCATCTAAAAGGTTCAGAACAAAATATCGTAAATTTGATTTTTTCAGTCCTTATTAGTACAGAAAACCGAGCTTAAATCTGGTGAACCTAAAAATGAACTTTGCTGTGGTGATTCATTAGGCTATTTTTATAGATAAAAAGTGTTCAAATATATATATATATATATAATTTAAGAAAAACAAGAAGAAAATATAACTAAAATGTACGTTGTTCTGGACTGATTTCAAACTAAGTTACAACTCAATTCCAGTGTTTTAACCTTTTACATGTATTAATACTAGTGTTCAATATAGGTTTATAAGCACATCATTTCATTCATATAGCGGTGTGAATTATGTAAGTTTTAATAGTACGCCTTGGTGGAGTACCCAATATCTTACTTTAACTAATATATATATATATATATAAGTATACACACACACATATATATATATATGTTAACTAGTTAAAGTAAATATTGGTACTCCAGTAATATTT